TTTGCTGCTGACAACCAGAACCAGCTGATCACATGCTCAAGAAGGACCATCAGCCTAACAATGGATCATTAGCACCTGATGGCTGTTTACTGTTCACAGAGGGCTGAGTGATACTAGCAATCACAGCATTGTAAGAGGGGGACAGTTGAACCTGGAGGCTCCACCCCTGTTTAATGATGGACGGTTTCTTTTCACAAAGATGGCCTCCTTTACTCCTCTCATCGTTCCTCTCTGTCCAGGATGTGAACATCTTCATCCCTGAAAGAGTGACCGCTGGCCTGGAGATGAGTGTAGACCTCAGAGTCCTGGCCTGATGATGTTGAACTTCTGTGCTGGTCCATCCTTTTGGCCAGTGGCTGTTTAGTTTCCCCGATGTAAGACTGATCACCCTCCTGACACTGAACAACATACACAACATTACTCTGTTTGTGCCGGGGGACTGGATCTTTGGGATGAACCAGTCTTTAATGTATTTTGGGGTTTAAAAGCCACTGGGACGTTATGTTTAGAAAATAAACGTCTCAGTTTCTCTGATACTCCCTCAACATCTGGAATGACCACTGGTCTGGGTCTGGGTTCCTCCTTTTCACCTGTTGGCTGACTGGAGTCCTGTTTGGGTTTCTTCTCTGCTTTCAGGAAGGCCCAGTTAGGATATCCACATTGCTCTAGAGCCTGTCTTGTGTGGGATTTCTCCTTCTGCCTGGCTCCTGAGCTAGTGGGGACGCTGTCTGCTCTGTGGTACAGAGTCCTGATGACTCCTAACTTGTGCTCCAAAGGGTGATGGGAGTCAAACTGCAAATACTGGTCTGTGTGGGTGGGTTTGTGGTACACCTCAGTTTGCAAATGTCCTCTATCAGAGACTGAGACCTCACAGTCCAAGAAAGCCAACCTGCCATTTTTTACATCTTCTCGTGTGAACTTGATGTATTTATCCAAAAAAGTTCAATCTGGTCCTCTGGACATTCAAAAAAACAAACAAAAACAAAACAAAGCAAAAAAATTTAGAAACGTTTCGTCTCTCATCTGAAAGACTTCCTCAGTCTGAGGTGCTGTACTCAGCTCAGTCTCTTAAATAGCACCTTCTCAGAGTGGATCAACCAGTTTGCTGCTGACAAACAGAACCAGCTGATCACATGCTCAAGAATGGTCATGGTCATTGATGTATTTATCCACAGAGTTGATGTGATCAGTAACTGTGCACTATATTCTAAAACTCAGTTCAAAGCATAAACACTGTGCACTGGCCCCCTAATGCAAATAAAATGTCCTACATACCACCACCAGAGGATCACAGCCAACAATTTGAGTCCAGAACAGGTTTAATAAAAGTTGTTGATTAAAAAAAGGCCGGTCCTGAGGTTTATTTGGATTAGTTTTTATCAGTTTCCATCCCCGCCACTCGCAGCTGGAACAATATTTCCTTTGATCTACTCCATCGCTCTTTTTGGGTCGACAAAAACCCTATCCTTCCCTCTGTACGTCATACGGAGTCTTGCTGGGAAATGGAGGCCATATTTAACATCCAACCGGTTCCGCAGGAGCCGCCCCTTCTCGATGAACGCTTCCTGCAATCTCACCACCCATGCAGAGCACTCAGCCGAGACAAAAACATCCGACCCCATGAACTCCGTCCGACCGTCGCTGCACGCCCGCTGCACGCCCGCTGCACGCCCGCTGCAGAATCTCCACACATTCCCGACGGCAGCAGAGCCCCGCCACCACCACCATGGGTCTCCCACCCGAGCCAGCCAGGGTCATCTTTGTGAAGTCGATCAGCGGTGGTCCGTCCAGTTCCAGGATGTCCGCCATCATGTCAGCAATCCCAGTGGGTGAACACCCACCCATCCAACTAGACCCACCAAGTCATTCAGCAAGATGGATTTGTTAGTTATTGAATAAACATTAATCAAAGCCATACGCAGCGGGGCAGAGGACGGGGTACTTATCGCAGCAGCCCGTTTCAGACAGCGGAGAAACTGAGGTTTAGATCCACGAACACCACGATGTCCATCAACGGAAGGAAGAAACGGTTATGAGTCCAGAGCTTCTGGATAAACAGACCGGAGGTAGCAGTAGCGCAGAGGTCCAGGTAGATCACAGCCAGGTCGGAATGTGTTTGTAAAATCCACATCGGTCCAAAACTCAGAGCAACAGGTGGGAAGAGTTTTATGGAGTAGTTTGACAACGACCTCACGCTTCCAAAAAAGCCTGAGCTTCACCTGGACACCGGCTTTCTTGCCTTGCTTTCTCTTCCTCCGAGATCCACATGAACCCAGCGCAGGGTCGAAAAACGCCAGAAGGGAAGTCACTCGCTGGTGAGAACAAGCCGGCACCTGAGGGTGGGGCACAGCTCCTCTGCATGGACCCCCGAATGGACAGCAGCGTCTGCCGATCATAGACCAGCATAGGTTGAACATCCCCAGTACAAAATGAAAACAGGAGAAAAGATCAAATATTTAGAAAACTTGCAGCAGCGAGGCCAAATAGGCGCTGTCACATCAGGAGTGACTGAAAAGTAATAATGATGTTGTCATCCGTTGAGGAGGGAGTATGGATCTGCAGCCTCCTGAACTTGGTTCTGGTTCTGTCTACAGTGGAGTGGAGCTGCCTGAAGGATTTCTCTCTGCTGGCCGGTGACGTGGTTCTGGATAATCTGCAGAACCTCAAGTGGACCATCAGCAGCCTCTCCACGGTAACACACACACAAACTGGAAGAAGTTCTTTGGGATCAGAACCAACCTTTTACCAAAACTCAGCCGGTCCGTGGACCGGACTTTAATGTTCTGTGGTGGTTCTTGTGTTCCAGGGTCGGGTCTACCACGTGCGGGTGTCGGCCTACAACATGAAGGGCTGGGGTCCACCGGCTTCCTCCCTGCCTCCGTCTGCAGCTCCGTCCAGTGAGTCTGACTTTTCAGAACCATCACGTTAATTCTAGGGTTCATTTTCAGTTCTGACCCGTGAAGACCCGGTCCAATGCTGAACAAGTTTAATATGAAACCTTTAAAAACATTTAAAGCTGTCGGGCAGCTTTGTGGAGCTGCTGGTTCTGATCCCCTGGATCCAGAACTCTGTCTGAAAACTGTTCAGCTGCTGCCTGGTTCTCCTCGCAGCTCTCGGGTCCAGACCCGGGTCTGTAGCCTGTCTGAGTGACATCAGCAGCAGCGTGTTCTGTTCTCCAGGCCTCCAGGTCCAGATCTCTGTCACGACTCCTTTCTTCTCTCTGAGTGCTCGGCCTTGAGCTGAGAGGGTGTGTGTGTGTGTGTGCACACGTGCGTGCGCGCGCGTGCGTGCGTGCATGCGCACTGAGCTCAATTGTTCCTCTCATTTGTGTCGGTCTGTGTTCTCGTCTTGTGACAGTCTTTAACCCAAACCAACAGAACCAATGGGTCCAGATCGGCCCGGTGCAGTTCTGAATGTATGTTCCCAAATGTTCTGTTTGAAAGACCTAGATTTATTCATTCCTTCATTCATTCAAGCTTTAATTATCCAGGTTAGTCAAACTGAATCACGAGGACTCATTTAAAGAGAGACCTGTTTTAGACAAACAACAGTAAACTAAAATAAAATGCAATTAAAATAAAAAGTAGTGTTGTAAAACAATAAATCAAGATGCCATATAAAACAAGGTAAAATATGAAAAACAACATATTTACTTTGCTGTTTCTATTGACCTTATCAAATGTTTAAAATCCCCTAAAGAAATTAAGGCGGACAACTTCAGTTCCTGTTGCAAAGACTTCCAGGTTGAAGGAGCTGAGTAGGAAAAGGCCTCTTTGCCGAATTCAGTCCCATCCATCCAGTTTCAGTCCCATCCATTAAAATCTCCTATTTAACAGTTGACTTCAGACTGTTTCCTGTATTGTCATCTAACTCCTGGAAACTTTGTGCTGTTTTATTATATCTCTCGTGTCTCTCTCTTGTGACTGAGTCCTCGAGGCTCAATGAGACTAACCTGCATTCAACCTTTATTTATACAGGTTAATCCCATTGACTCCTCCTTGAATCGCCACCTTATCGTGGTGGAGGACTTTGTGCGCCTGAATGATCCCAGGAGCTGTGCTAGGATCTCACAAGGCAGATGGGTCCTAGGTGACAGGCCAGACAAAGAGCGATTCAGAAGATTTTTATGGACAAAACAAAACAAGGAACTCAGTGACACTTGCCCGGACGTGGGTTACCGGGGCCCCACCCTGGAGCCAGGCCTGGGGGAGGGGCTTGTCGGCGAGCGTCTGGTGATCGGGTCTCTGCCCATGGGGCCCGGTCGGGCTCAGCCCGAAGGAGCAGCATGGGTTTGCCTTCCTGTGGACCCACCACATGCAGGAAGGGCCATAAAAGTCGAGTGCATGATGCTATGGGCAGTGGCCGAAGGCGGAGACCTTGGCGCTCTGACCTTGGCGCTCTGACCTTGGCGCTCTGACCTTGGCGCTCTGACCTTGGCTTACCAAAGCTGCTCTTGGGACATGGAATGTGACCTCTCTGGAGGGAAGGAGCCTGAGCTTGTGCGCGAGGTTGAGAGGTACCGACTAGATATAGTTGGGCTCACCTCGACGCACAGCATGGGCTCTAGAACCGATCTCCTTGAGAGGGGTTGGACCTTATTCCACTCTGGAGTTGCCCATGGTGAGAGGCGTCAAGCTGGAGTGGGTCTATTTGTAGCCCCCCAACTTGGTGCCTATGTGTTGGAGTTTTCCCCAGTAGATGAGAGGGCGGCTTCCCTTTGCCTTCAGGTGGGGGGCACGGGCTCTGACTGATGTTTGTGCCTACGCGCTGAACTGCAGTTCAGAGTATACAGCCTTCTTGGAGTCCTTGGCAGGGGTGCTAGAAGGTGTGCCAGCTGGGGACTCCTTTAATCTGCTGGGGGACTTCAATGCCCATGTGGGTAATGACTGTGTGACCTGGAGGTGTGTGATTGGGAGGAACGGTCTCTCTGATCTGAACCCGAGCAGTGTTCTGTTGTTGGACTTCTGTGCTAGTCATAGTTTGTCCATCACAAACACCATGTTCAAACATAAGGGTGTCCATAAGTGCACTTGGCACCAGGACGCCCTAGGTCGTAGATCGATGATTGACTTCATAGTCTTGTCATCTGATTTGCGGCTGTTTGTTTTGGATACTCTGGTAAAGAGAGGAGCTGAGCTGTCAGCTGATCATCACCTGGTAGTGAGTTGGATCAGATGGTGGGGGAAGATGCCGGACAGACCCGGTAGACCCAAACGTGTAGTGAAGGTTTGCTGGGAACGCCTGGCAAAAGAACCCATCAGAGATATCTTCAACTCACGCCTCCGGGAGAGCTTTAACCGCATCCCAGCTGAGGTGGGGTACATTGAGTCTGAGTGAGCCATGTTGCGCACCTCGCTTGTTGAGGTAGCTGCCTTGAGCTGTGGCCGCAAGGTTGTCAGTGCTTCTCGCGGTGGTCATCCACGAACTCGGTGGTGGACACCCCAGGTTAGGGAGGCTGTCAAGCTGAAGGAGGAGTCCTATAGGGCCTTATTGTCCAATGGGACTCTGGAGGCAGCTGAGGAGTACCGAAGGGCTAAGCGGTCCACAGCCTTGGCTGTTGCTGAGGCAAAAGCTCGGATGTGGGAGGAGTTCGGTGAGACCTTGGATAGAGACTCTCTGTCGGCTCCGAGAAGATTCTGGCAAACCATCAGGTGGATGAAGAGGGGAAAGCAGCTCTTTACTAACACTGTGTTCAGTGAAGGTGGGCTGCTGTTGACCTCACCCAGTGATGTCATCAGGAGGTGGAAGGAATACTTCTCAGACCTTCTCAATCCCACCATTCACTCAACCTTTATTTAGACAGGTAAATCCCATTGAGCCTCGAGGACTCATTTACAAGAGAGACCTGATTTGAACAAAGAATGATGATGACAATGCACAACAGCGACAACAATAAACAGTTATAAAAAGTCATACAGATTTATTTATTTTTTTACAAATAGGAAGGCTAAAAATAGAAAAGTAACAAAAAACAGCTAGATTCTAAGGCAAATGTAGAAAGCTAAAAACAGGAACATGTCTACATTGGTCCCTGCCAAGCACGTCTTCCATGGAGGAATCTGAGTCGGGGGACTTTGGGATTGATCCGTCCATAACTGTGGTTGAGGTCGTTGAGGTAGTTAAAAATCTCCAAGGTGGCAGGGCTTCGGGAGTGGATGAGATTCGCCCTGATTTCCTTAAGGCTCTGGATGTTGTGGGGCTGTCTTGACTGACATGCCTTTGCAACGTTGCGTGGACATTGGGGGCAATGCCACTGGATTGGCAGACTGGGGTGGTGGTTCCCCTCTTCAAAAAGGGGGACCGGAGGGTGTGCTCCAGTTATAGGGGCATCACTCTCCTCAGCCTCCCTGGTAAGGTCTATTCAGGGGTACTGGAGAAGTGAGTCCAATAGTTGGTCAAACCTCAGATCCAGGAGGAACAATATGGGTTCCGTCCTGGCCGTGGAACACTGGATCAGCTCTTTACCCTCACTAGGGTCCTTGAGGGGTCATGGTAGTTTGCCCATCCAGTCTGCATGTGTTTTGTAGACTTGAAGAAGGCATTTGACTGTGTTCCTCAGGGTACACTGTGGGGGGTGCTCTGTGAGTATGGGATAGGGGGCCCGTATTACGGGCTGTTCAGTCCCTATACAAGCGGTGCGAGAGTTTGGTTCTCATTGCCGGCAGTAAGTCGGACCCCTTCATGGTGGGAGTTTGACTCTGCCAGGGCTGCCCGTTGTCACCAATTCTGTTCAAAACTTTTATGGACAGAATTTCTCAGTGCATCCAGCTAGCGGAGGGTTTCCAGTTCGGTGGCCTCGGGATTCATCTCTACTCTTTGCAGATGATGTGGTCCTGTTGGCGTCATTGTGCCGTGATCTTCAGCTCTCACTGGAGTGGTTCACAGCTGAGTGTGAAGCAGCTGGGATGAGAATCAGCACCTCCAAATCTGAGGCCATGGTCCTCAACTGGAAAAGGGTGGATTGATCTCTTCAGGTTGAGGGTGAGGTTCTGCCTCAAGTGGAGAAGTTCAAGTATCTTGGGGTTTTGTTCACGAGTGATGGAAGAATGAAGCATGAGATTGACAGACGGATTGGTGCAGCGTCTGCAGTATTGTGGACTCTATACCGGTCCGTTGTGGTGAAGAGAGAGCTGAGCTGTAAGGCAAAGCTCTCTGTTTACCGGTCGGTCTACGTTCCTCCCCTCACCTCTGGTCATGAGCTCTGGGTAGAGACTGAAAGAATAAGATTGTGGATACAGGACCTTGAAATGAGTTTTCTCTGCAGGGTAGCTGGACTCTCCCTTAGAGATAGGGTGAGAAGTTCAGTTATTAGGGAGAGACTCGGAGTAGAACCGCTACTTCTCCACGTCGAGTGGAGACAGTTGAGGTGGTTTGGGCATTTGGTAAGGATGCCCCCTGGGTACCTCCCTAGAGAGATGCTTCGGGCATGTCCAACTGGGAGTAAACTAAACTAGACTTCCGATAAGATGGCACCCATGTACATGGCTTGTAATCCACCTCTGCTGATGGTGTTCGGATTATTTTTGTTTTTTGCATTTCTCATCTGTAACATCAACTAGATGTTGGATGCTGTCTTATCATGGTGCAGGGGTGCATGATTTTGCAGCTTTTACTGTTTTCTGATAACAGCGCCAACTCTCTAAGTATCTGGAAAGAGACCTGAAGCCTGTCTTTCCTCCACTTCCGCTCCGCCCTCCTACATTGCTGCCTAGCGGCCTTGGTGACGTCACTCAGCCAAGGTTCTGCTCTCAGTTTTGATTTTTTGGTTTTAACAGGTGTGACATGAGCCAGAGTCTTTAAGCAGACAGAGTTGAACTGGGATGTCAGTTCCTCAGTGGTGGTGAGAAACACCGGGGGCTGAATTATCATTTCAGAGTTATAAACATATGTGAAACGTGCGGCAGTGAAGTGGTTAATGGTCCGGGTGCGACGTGCAAGAATGTACGGCTTAGGAGTTAGATGGGGGAGGGTGAACTCAAACTGGACTGGCATGTGGTCTGAAAAAACATTATCACCAATAACAAGATTATTAACAGTCATATCATGAGTTAAAACAAGGTCCAGTGTATGTCCACGCTCTTGGGTGGGACTGTTTACATGCTGTGTTAGATTAAATGAGTCCAATAGATCTAAAAAGTCCTTAACCAAGGGCTTCTCAGGACAGCACACGTGCAAATTAAAGTCCCCAATAATGAAAACATGCTCATATTTTGGTGTAATTTCAGCCAAGAAGTCAGAAAACTCATTTATGAAATCCTTAGATCGAGGTGGGCGGTAGACGAGTGCAAATAAAGTCTGAGGCGAGTGGCCGAGTTCAAAGCCGCTCAGCTCAAAGCTGGTGCGGGAAACTGGGATGGGCAGTTATTTACAGTCAAAAGTTGATTTGAATATTGTTAATAATCCACCACCGCGCCGGCCTGATGGCCGCAGGGCGTTAAAATACAGACAGTTCGGTGGCAGTAAATCCGTCAAGGCGCTGGACTCACCCAGAGACATCCAAGTCTCTGTGATGCAGAAAAAGTCCAGATCGTGCTGTTGAAAGTTGTCCCTGAGGATAAAAGTTTTGTTGGTAACAGATCTTGCGTTGACCAAACACATCCGGATATTGTCCAAAGTAGAGCCAGCAGCGGTGGAGTTAGCAGCGGTGGAGTTAGCAGCGGTGGAGTTAGCGCGCGCTAATGGCCGCAGGTTTTCAATAACATCCCCTCCAGGTTGGTCCGGGCTGCACAACGGCTGACAACTCCCACTGGTTACCTGGTCCGGGCACGCGGAAGCTGGAGACCATGACTTCCAGCTGAAGAGGAAGATGCAGCGCGCAGAGCTTTCAGCTTCACCAGCTGACCAGCACGTTTTTCCCGGCGTCTGAAGCGAGATCTCCGGGCAGGCAGGTGAGGAGCCCAGCGGAGGTAAACTGGCACGTCCGCCAGCAGGGGGGGAGGGGTCCAGAGGTACGCTGATAATGGTCCAGATAAGCGACATCAGTGCCAGAAAAACGAAGATCCAAAAGTTGTTGTCTGTCATACACCAGCAGAGAGTTGATGTCATTGATGAGGAATACAAAAAACAAAAATAATCCGAACACCATCAGCAGAGGTGGATTGCAAGCCATGTACACAGGCGCCATCTTACTCGGTTGGCCTGGGAATGCCTTGGAGTCCTCCCAGAAGAACTGGAAGATGCTGTGGAGAGAGAATCTGGGCCTCCCTGCTCAAGCTGCTACCCCCGTGACCCGACTTCGGAATAAGCGGAAGATGATGAATGGATCGATGGATAATCCCATTGAGCCTCAGGGACTCATTTACAAGAGATATAAATAAATTGATGTTAAATCAATAAATTGTATAAATAAATGGATGAATATATCAAAACGTTTGGCTCATTCAGAAGATTGTTGTTGTGACTTGTGGCTTTTGTAACTTTTACACTAAATATTTAATTTCCCTATAAAAACACGTGGAGATCACATCTAGTCCTGCATAAACATGGCTCTCTGCAGCCTGCTTCAGTGCCCCCTGATAATACGACTAGCACTGCTAACGCTAATGATGCTAACACTCATAATGCTAATGCTGTCAGCTAGTTTTTTGCTGCTTTATCTTTCAGCTCATCTTCAGTTTCTTCAGCTAGTTTCAATGTTTCTTTAGCTGAACTTGTTTTTATCTCCAGACTGGAGGGAGAGCGACGGCCGGGAGCCCAGGAAGCGTGGCCACATCGAGGCCATGGAGCGCCTGCTGCAGCAGGTTCGAGCGACCCACACGCACTACTGCTGTGGAGGTGAAGGCTCTTTTTACCTTGTCATATCTCCATCATACCCTGTAGAACCCTCAAACAGAACCTGTGGTACCACCAGAACCTTCTGCTGCTCACGGGTCAACAAGTTCTTTGATCGGACATCTAGTTTTCACACAGACTGTCTGAGGCTTACTTTTTACTCTGCATTTCTGGCCAAAGTGTTGCCCCCTCCCCCTCGATCACTATGGCAACCAATGACTCAGCAGACTGTGGGTCTTTTTTTATTACCCAGCATGCTTTACTTCTTCCTGTTTCCATCATGGCTGCCCCCGTAGATTCTGTAAAGTCTCAAACTTCATTTGATCTCAGCAGAGAGACAAAGGTTCTGTTTGTTCTGTGGTTCTGATCTGGTTCTGTCTGTCCGTCTGCAGCTGAGCCTTTGGGCAGAACCTCAGCTGCTGGTTTGTTTACGTGTAATTATGGGATGTAATGGTCAGTAGTAGAATGTGGCTGAGGTTTGGAGATTGGCATCATTCTGAAACTTGATCCTGCTGACCTGAAACAAGAGACAGAACCTCTGAGCAGACCCGGTTCGGGTCTGGCTCTTGAACTTCCTGTTTTTTGTTGTTGTGCAGACCCGTCGAAGCTGCAGAACCCCAGCAGGAAGCAGTCGGTCTCCAGAAGCCTCAAACATCTCTTCAACTCCAACAAGTTTGTCAAAACTCTGAAGAGGTTGGTGTCACGTTCTAATGAAATGTTCTGATGGTTCTTACTGAACTGGGTCAGAACCACTCCTGGGTTCTGTTTGTGTACAGGGGGATCTACCTGGCTGCTGTCTTCTACCATAAGGACAGCCTGCTGGTGACCGCCGAGGACCACATCCCCATCGTGGAGGTGGACGACTCCTACAGCAGCACGCTCATGCAGGACTTCTTGTGGTTCACAAAGGTACTGACCAGAACCACCGTCCGTGTCCAAAATCACTGTCCATGACAGAACCACCGTACATGTCCAGAACCACCGTCCATGACCAGAACCACCGTCCATGACCAGAACCACCGTCCATGACCAGAACTACTGTCCATGACAGAACCACT